TTGAATCCGTCCTCTGCACTTCAATAACTGTCTGGTTCAGCTCAGCTACCAAATCTGACCTTAGAAGACTACGTAGGATAGTCCGGACTGCTGAGCGAATCACTGGTACAACCCTCCCTACTCTCCAAGAACTGTATCCTGCTGAAAAATCCAGCATTTCTGGTCACTAGCATAAGGTTGCTGGTTTGCTGGTCCGCAGCATGGGATGCTGGTTGCTGGTTCCCCAGCATGGGGATGCTGGTTGCTGGTTTGCTGGTCCCCAGCATGGGGATGCTGGTTGCTGGTTTGCTGGATTCCAGCATGGGATGCTGGTTGCTGGCTTGCTGGATCCCAGCATGGGATGCTGGTTTTCTGGTTCCCCAGCATGGGATGCTGGTTGCTGGTTTGCTGGATCCCAGAATGGGATGCTGGTTACTGGTTTGTTGGATCCCAGCATGGGGATGCTGGTTGCTGGTTTGCTGGTCCCCAGCATGGGGATGCTGGTTTGCTGGATTCCAGCATGGGATGCTGGTTTGCTGGTTCCCCAGTATGGGGATGCTGGTTGCTGGTTTGCTGGTTCCCCAGCATGGGCATGCTGGTTGCTGGTTTGCTGGTCCCCAGCATGGGATGCTGGTTGCTGGTTTGTTGGATCCCAGCATGGGGATGCTGGTTTGTTGGATCCCAGAATGGGATGCTGGTTGCTGGTTTGCTGGATGCCAGAATGGGATGCTGGTTGCTGGTTTGCTGGATGCCAGAATGGGATGCTGGTTGCTGGTTTGCTGGTCCCCAGCATGGGGATGCTGGTTGCTGGTTCGCTGGTCCCCAGCATGAGATGCTGGTTGCTGGTTTGCTGGATGCCAGAATGGGATGCTGGTTGCTGGTTCGCTGGTCCCCAGCATGAGATGCTGGTTGCTGGTTTGCTGGATCCCAGAATGGGATGCTGGTTGCTGGTTCGCTGGTCCCCAGCATGAGATGCTGGTTGCTGGTTTGCTGGATCCCAGAATGGGATGCTGGTTGCTGGTTCGCTGGTCCCCAGCACAGTAAGCAGGTGTGCTGGTGGACCATCATAAGGTATGTTTTGCATGCTGGGACCAGCTTGGGATACTGGTGGACAAGCATTTGTTGTCCACCAGACCACAACAAAATTTGTGTTACATATCAAATTTCTTTAGAAATTAGTTTGTGTTTGTAGTTAAAGACCAAGACAGTTTTCCAAATTAATTGTAATAAATTATTTACTAAAGAAAAACACAACATGTTGCTGGTTACATGTTTACACAGTAAAATTCCCAGTGTTAAACAAACACTGCTTAGTTTTCATATGTTCCTGGTCTATAGAGAGTAAAAGTAACACTGAAGC